CAGATGTTTCTTACACGTTGTGTGTTCTGTACGCAAGTGAGATAAATAAGTGACCAAAAAACATTGTTACACTCGACGGATTTTTCATTGACAATTTGTGATTGATAGTGTAACGGACCAAAAATGAAGCAATTCAAAAAAAAAAAAAAATCCTTGCCTTGGATGCAGAAAAACAGCATAAAATATATGTCCAAAATAACTAATTTTCCCATGGATGTCTGATATGCTAGTTCATAGTTCATAGTTGTAATTTATTTAATAGTGCTGTCAGTGGGTCAGGATATGGCATATTGAATGTTTGCGTGACAATGAATTTGAAAGGATGCAGTAGGAAGAGGTGGTAGCCTAATTTAAGTTATTATCATAGCTCAGTTAGGATAGGAAGTGTCCTGGATGAGATTTGAATCAGGCATCTCCTGAACACAAGTCAGAAGTATTACTGCTTGAGCCAACTTGCTTGTGTTTCTGGTACCAATACCCAGATACAGATCAATTTACTCAACTGCAGCGTTTTCCTTCTTAGGAAAAAAAAAATCCTTTATGCAAGCAGTTCTTTCTACTCACCACATCTCATTCTGATTTAAACGAGTTTCAGGAAAAGGGTGTTGCTATATTACAAGCAGAAATCACAACTCATCCACCCTAAGAAATTAAATAATGATAAGAAACCTCTGTCCATGACCTTACTTCTGCCACCTCCTCCAATTAGTCACCATAAACCTCCATCCCCCTTCATTTAGGCCCATTAGGTGACAGTCAAAGATGTTTCTGGCAAATAAAAATGTCACAGTGAATATATAACATTTTTATTGTAAATTCACTATGAAATGCCATGTTTGTTTGTCGCAGTGTAATATTTCACTTCCAAATAATAACATGAGATTAAATGTATTACCATCTGTAACATACAATCAGATATATAACCTCCAAATTTACCACTGAGTTTATTGAAAAAATATCATGGTATATATAATGTATAATTCTGATTTTCAGGAATAAGCTGGGATCATATGTTTTTCTGCATCTTGGCATTCATTGCACTTCTTACCTTCAGGTTAATGAGTTGGGTGGTTCTTTGGAAGATCTCTCAATGAGGGTCCCTTTGGTTTGATTTCATTCTTTCAAATAATTTGTTATGTTTTCAGAAAGCATTGGAGGAAAGATGGGCCAGCAACTGGGATTGGGTCTCCCCGAAAAGGCACAAAGAAGGCAGAATTAATGGCTGGATTCTTTTTGATAGACATGCATCAGAATCTTGAGAAGCCACCTGAAAGTCTGGGCATCGAGATGGAGCCTGATGATAATGATACTTCAGACTTCCAGCAAAGGTACATTGTCTGTTCTAAATTCATGTGGGTCTTGAACCCAGACAAGGAAGAAATGCATAATGACACTGGAATTGAGATAAATATATGGTCAGTAAAAGAAAGAATAAATAATGAAAAAAAAAAAAGAACTAAAATACAGGATGGGTGAAACATATTTCATTCAGAAAGACTGATTTTATATATACAATTACGTAAATATTTTCACACCACAAATAAATAAGTTACAGAAGAATACTAGAACGAAATAAGTCATGATTATAACAGCTTTTAGGCTGTGTCATTGGCACTTGAAAGAAGTATGGAGCAAAGATTCCAGTCCAAGAAATGTCACATACACTACAAAATAAATGACGTGTAACGGCCAGGATTTCTTCTATGTGTTGACATAATGATGAGCTCAAAACAGGTTTCCATCTCTCAGTAAACCTAGCATCCACCTTGAACAGCAGAAGTAGTATGCTACAAAATTTCAGCATTCTTGATTTATCGTCTCCTTCAGTTTCTTGAACCACCCAAGTTTGGCAGAGGAACACATGCAAATCATCATTCAGCATCGCCTGAAGGGTTGATCCCTTCATGTCCATACAATTACTGAGTTTTGGATATTATCAATCATCCTCTTTTTTTTCTTTCTTTCTTGCTTAAAACATAATGTTTTGGTGACTGAACTCTGTCTCTGTCCTGAGGTAAAAGCCTACTCAGTTGGGCCCAACCAATAGAGCTAGTCCCTAATACCGGACACCACCATCAACACAAGACAGTATATATGAATCATCCTGACAGAAATGTGGTTTGTGCACTGGCAGCTTCAAGAACTTTTTTGTGTTCTGAGAGGACCACTAGTTAACACTAAATTCTTTGAAACATCTTTATGTCTAAGTGACTGAGCCAGAATTTAATATTTGTTCAAATCTTACAATGTTTCTTTATAATGAGAGAACAATGTGAATTATTAACATTAATATTTTCTTTTTATTTTAATTTTAAAATAGTTTAAAATGTGTCAGATATTCCTTGCTCATTTTATCTTTAGAAGCCCAAGAATGAGCTTGTACGTATAAGGCCAGAATGGGCTTTCAGCCCAATCTTGAAGGAATTACTGCTTTAAAGACCAGTATCAGTTAGAAGTGTTCCTCAATTTAAGGTTTTCCTCATTTAGTGTTCAACTTAAATTATCCCAAGTCAATAACTTCCTTGACAAATTACTTCCATTTTAGATTTTCCTCAGCTGTGTGTTCAGATCCACTTCATCCAAAAGAAATCTTAAAAGGGGGTTTCACTCTGTTTGTAACACTTTCTTAACATTCTTTGACATTTTGTGAACAGAGTGTATGTATGAATTTTGTTTGGACTGTTTACCTGCATATTAGTAACTAACTGACCAAGCAAGATGATGGGGCAATAACACTGTACTTGTATTTTTGAGGAAGTCGATTCTAATCTTGACCAGGAACTGGCTACAATGACTGAGGCTTGTTGTGTTTTCCTCAGTCTCTCCAGGCAAATGCCAGGTATCATCTTGATTAGTTCATGACCACATCCTTCCAACTATTTTTTCAATTTATCATATGTTTTAACCATCAACACAACAAATGGAGCACGGATATCTTAAATGAAGACAACAGATGTTGACATACATTTTACTTATATAATATAAGCATAAATTTGGCAACATGTTTCGACCTATAATTTAGGTCATCCTTAGACACCTCTCTTTGATTTATAGCTCAGAACATGTATCCCAATTTATGCTTATATTAAATAAGTAAGATATATACCAAGATCTGTTGTCTTCATTGGAGATATTCCTGCTTTATTTGTCGCGATGACGGCTATAACATAGGATAAGTATTATATATACAACAGGCTGCGATCTATAAAGTTTATTTTTCAATTTAATATTCACAAACTGTCTTACTATTTTACAGCATATAATCTGAGGCACTGACAGCATTTAAAGAAAACACAAAAGCTACTAATATTATTAATAGAGATGCAGTGTCTTCTCCCTGTAGTAGGAACCAGATTTGATATAATTCAGATGAACTGGTTTGTGGTAGGTTTGGTGAGAAGTTGTTAAGGGATGCAGGGGTCAATCTGACAGAATTGGAGGAGGAGGACTTGCGATGTGGGGGGTTGCTGCTTGCTACTAACCTCACTTATAACACCCTGAACCACCTGGCTGAAGACTGCATGCTGCAGAAATGCAGTTTCAGGTAACAATGTATGATCATATCTATACATATGTAAGTATACTTCATTTCCAAGTAACTCAACAGATTTCAGTCAACTTTGGTTTTGAAGGCTAGCATGGAACATTCTCAGGGAAATTTAATTTTAGTTCCTATCACTCTCCTATAAAACTTTATATGATGCTTAACTTCAACTTCAACAAATTTCTCATGAACTGCTTATTGTACAAAAGGAAGGGATGTCATAAAATGTGGAGTTCATTAGCATCTACAGATCTGTTTGGGATATGTTTCAGTATAATGTACATTTAATAAAATGCATGGGAAAAGTTGTTCATGCCTCTGTGCATTGTAATAGATCTGCTGCTAAAGAGTTCTTTCAGCAGTAGACTTGTATCTGCAATAAGGGAACATCAAGACAAATTATGGTTTTGAAATCACAAAGAGTGTATTTGGAAAACATATAGGATGAACTGAAGTTCATGCACAAGCTCTCCATAGTGTGACCTTGTTAAAAATAAGTTCAAATGTTATGCAATAAATGAAGGCCGCGCCATAGCTCAAGCGCTTAGTCACTGGCTTCCCGATGCCAGGTCTGGTCAAGTGGGATTTGTGGTGGACAAAGTGGTGCTGGGGCAGGTTTTCTCCGAGTACTTCGGTTTCCCCTGCCAATCTTCATTCCACCAATTGCTCCACCATCACCCTTACCTATCATCTGGGACTGGTACAATAGGCCAGAAGTGGCCGCAGTACAAGGGACTTAGTCCCACCCCGCTAGCAATACAAAAAATATGCAATATATGATGCTTAGTTTTCAAGATACATATGCCTGTTCTCAGAAGCACTGTTTGCCACGATGATAAAAAGCGTGTTGTTAGGTTTTCTTGAGACACACAGTACAGAGCAGGGGTGAGCTGTGATCACGTGATCATGGAATACACAGACAATGAATACTATGACATGCCCTTACATCTTTGGTACCTGTAGTAGTTGAGCTGCATAGAAATATGTGTTAATGTGATCCTGGTTGACACCATCCAGATGCTACTGTGTTTCAATGATTAGAGCAGCACCTGTGTGGGACAGGAAGTGTAACATATATAGAACACATGGACTGCACAGACACCAACCTATGAAGATGCCATAGCTGCAGGTGTGGAACAAAAGTCATGGATAAAGTCACATGATACTGTATGAGAATTGGGGTTAATCCAACTGAGGGTCCTCGAAGTACTTCATGACCCTCAGTTGCATCCACATCACTACTTGCAGAGGGCACATGTGTTTCCAGGAAATCATCCTCTACAATACAGTTCTGTGAATAGCTGTGAGATCAACACACTGTGGATAAGCTCTTTTTACGTAACGTTCTGTGGAGTGACAAAGCATATTTTAAGCGTGATGGTGTGTTCAGTGCTCATAACAGTGATAATCATCATGCTATCATCAAATTTGTGTATGAATTCCACTTCAGCTCCAGCATTTGGGCTGGAATCATCTGGGACATTGTTGTGGGCCCTTATCTGCTACCTGACAGGCTGACTGCTCAACCATTTTTGATTTTCTGGAAACTGTTGTATCTTGTTTTGGCTGCCTGCAGATATATCTCTACTTGTGAGGCAGAGGTTGTGGTTTCAGCATGATGGAGCTTCAGTATCCTGTGGGGAAGAGTCCAGCAATGGTTGAATATGACATATCCAGAAAGCTGGACTGAACATTAATGGTCAATTGCACAGCTTCCTCAATCAACAGATCTAACTCCAATGATTTTTTTTTTCTGAGGGAGCACCTGAAGTAGCACTTTTATGCAGACCTTCCCAGGACTATCAAAGATCTCATGGCAAGACTTCAAGCATCTCTGACATAAGATAATGCCAACATGTTAAGGCATGTTCAAGATAATGTCATGCAGTGCCCTAACATCTGCCTTCAAATGGATGGAGGCTGCTTCAAGCAGCTACTGTAACTATGAGGCATCAATGGTTTGATCGTTTAATGGCTTGTATCATTTGATAGTGACATGTATATTGAACATTAAATATCACAAGACATATACTGTATGTGCAATATTTTCAACCTATTTCTTAACAATGAATCACACTATGGAAAACTAGTGAACAAATTTCATTTTGTCTGTATGTACTCAAATAATCTAAGTATACTTTTGCACTATTATTAAATTGTTAACAGCGGAGTGTTAAATTTAAAATGACTTCCTTGCTCTTTAAAATATTGACTGAAGATGGACTGAACATGTCCAAAACCTGCACTAGGCATGGGATCAGTGAGTTCTTTAACATTTAAAATATGGAAAATTAAAGAATCTATCATTCAATATTCAGAACAATAATTATGTTAATTTTGTATTGAACAAAGAATGATATTTCTCTGGGGACTCAGGAATGTCAAGAGGGATTTCAGTTTGAAACTAACAGCAACACATGTAACAGTTTTGAGACCCACTGAGATGTGCCCACAATCAGGGAAGGTGGCCCTGATGTTTGCCCACCTGACTACAAGGAAAGTGATGATCGCACTTTCTGGATCTACTTCTTCTTGCGCTTTGTGGGGACTGTGATGCTGTCTGGTGGAGTCAGCATGCTTGACCCCATCGCCCTAACTATGATACAGAAGTATGGTGGACAGTTTGGGCGCGAGAGGCTTTTCTCCACCATTGGCATGGCCATATTCTCCCCTCTGGCTGGACTGCTTATGGACCGGAGCAGCCGTCAATTGAGTAGGTATACTTCTCTGCATAGCAAAGTGGTGTCACAACCCAGAAACTACAATCTATAGTAAAATACATAGCATAAAATTATAAATTCTGTTGTTGACATAGCAAATATGCTCTATTGAATAAAGGTGTACATTATTTTTCTTGTATTTTGTCAAAAATATGTTACATTAAAAATATTTCAGATAAATAGGTCTTAATAAGATTTATATTCTTCTCATGTGAACTTTATATAAGATGAACAATTTTGAGAAATTTTGTAGTTATATTTGTGCTTCATGTAAAGAAGGGTTTATACTGGAATGATAAAAAACCTAGACTAAATTTGCATGACAACTTTAAGTATAGACCCACCTAACACCAGATCTTAAAGAAGTCAATCAAGTAGTATCAGAAATAAAACATGCAATTTACATAATCTGTGCAATGAATGCATAAACATTAAATGTAAATTAAGAGCTAAGAAGTACATACCATGATTATATTCATTGATTTACAGATTACACAGACTACTCAGCTGCATTCTACACCTATGACATCTTGCTGGGCATTTCAGCCATCACGATTCTCTTAATGCCCCTTGGAGTGCACTTGCCAGCCGACAATATAATGCGTGACCTTCTGCGTATTGTTCGTTTGCCACCTGTCCTCCTCTTCATCTTTTTCCTCTTTGCACTTGGTAACTTTTGGGGTTTCATTGAATCCTTCCTTTTCCTGTACCTCAAGGAACTTGGAGCCCCCAACTCTTTGCTTGGTAAGCTGAGTCACAGAATTACATTTTGAAGTTAAATAACATAATGTGTATAAAAGGTGCAGTCTGTTTTATGAAGATGGTGAAGATCTAAATGTAAAATTAGAAGTATATGAAAATTATGAGTATCACAAACCAAATTTCCAAACAATTATTAACTTTAAGGTATACAGGGGTTCAAAAATAACTTTCTCACATGTAAATATCTTAATGCTATTTTCCTATGGAAACACAAAACACATGAGAGGTCTGTATCACACGTCTTGAGAAGTAACCATTGTGCTCGTAACAGTTAACATCAGTTAGCTGTGTACAGATTTATTAAAGCAGGTTCACCAAATGCTGAGTTTCCTACAGTCAATAAAGTAATTTGAAGCTTCTCAGTTGGGTCATATTTGCAAATTTAATGCATGATGTGCTACTGTTCAGGTCTGGTCTTTTTTGACGTTCAAGAAGATCCATGAAAAAAACTGTCCTGCTTTCTCTCAATAGCTAAAAAGCTAACAATTTCTGACTTTCAGCAATTAAAATTGTAAGGCCAGGATAAAAAATGTTAATTTTTCTCTTTCTCCACAGAAGTAAAATAGCTAGTTTTCCTCTTTGTATAACTTATACACATTTCTGATAACAGATATCGTTGTCTCTTATGGAGGCATTAACAATCTGAATGTCCAAACATTTTTTTGTGGTATGTGCAAAAAATATACAAAATATTAAAAAAAAATATATATATATAGTATGGAAAATCGTCCATTTATCAGCCAGGAAACACATATTAAAAGGCACTCTCGGCTGGTATGGGACAGTTTAAGATTCTGAAGGATTACACCTGTACGCTTTCATACCATGTACACTACTAGTTCTTAGCATTTAACAGATATAACTCACATATACGTGTAGAAGTTACAGTGATTCATCACTTTTCATGACACCACAATATTTTGCATGGTGACCATATTGTTGCTTAATATTTTCATAAAGAAATGTCAATATGTGTCTCATATTTGTAAATGACTGTTATGAAACAATTTCTAGCAACTACACTGAATGATGCTAACATTGTTCTCACCACACCAGTATTCATGGCAGCATGTTGGTATATAATTATTGCTTCATGACAGGAAGTCAAGTACTGATATTTGGAGGTGTCCATTGGCATTATGTACATTCAGAATTTTGTTGAAATTGGTCAGTTTGGATCTGTGTTATTAACATCTACAAGTGAATCAGGAGATAGGCTGACATACACATGAACACATTCATGCACCTAAAAGGGTTCTGAAGAAGGAATCAACTGAGTAGTGGTAATGCTGTAGATATATATTTGTTACTTATATTACATCAATATTGGTCATGATACCAGTTATCCTAATGCAGATTTCTTGTGCTTCTCCTCAGTCTCTCCAGAAAAACTTCCACATAGTATCTTCAAACAGGCCACAACTGCCTTTTTCCAAATCATAATCATCTTTCCCTCTCATTCACCACTCTGTAGCATATCCAATTAAAACAGAATCTTTTTTTTTTCCTTGGCACTACAGCCCCAGTGGGCCTAGGCCTACCTCCATGAACTTCTCCGTTCACAAAACAGAATCATTAGATATCCTAAAACTCTATAAACCAAGAAGTTACTTTGGAACCTTAAAAACAAAAATTGAAGTATTAATTTGATATTAATTATAAGAACTGCCCACCCACCCTCCTATCCAATTTGTAGGAGGCTGTTTACCTGAGGGTAAAGCAATAGGTGTGAAAGATACCCACTCACATCCATCTACTGCCAAGAATAAGATTGTGTGCAGCTATATCTTCATGGTACGCTCCTTAATTAAGAACAGGGACAATTTTACCCTCTTCACTTTACCAAACAGACACACACAATCAATTTGTAACATGCTTATAACGAACAAAGTGAGGTGGCCCCATCATTTTCCCTTCAGAGCGTGCCAAAACTATTTCCTTTTCTTGAGGCTTGTAGTTTAAAACCTGTTCAGTCTCTGGAGTCATGCAATTTCCTGTTTGTTATAACAATGCTACATTCCAGGTATTACTGTAACGGTTGGGTCTCTGAGTAGCATTCCATTCCTGTATGGAGCTGGTAAAATCATGCAACAGTTTGGCCATGTTAACATTATCATCATTGCCTTCTTCTCGCATGCAGCACGCCTTGTTGGCTATTCCTTCATTGAGTAAGTAAACTCTGTTAATTGTTCTGGATATAGTCAGTGATGTTAATATTGAAGAGGTGAATTTCATGATGTCACAAAAATATGACATCAAGGGTTTTTTCTTTTAAATTCACAACTATGTTTCCTGATGAATGATATGAATACATTTTCCCACACTAACACTCTGGTAGTAAAAACAAGAGTTTCAACATTGCTGACACCAAAGCATACTATCTGACAATCCTGAGACAGCTCTATTCATCTCACATCCTCATAACTTAATTCACAATCACCCAATTTAATATTATGCATTTGCTCTTCCTCATAGACTACATGTCCAGCCCATTGTAACTGCCTTGATGTTGCTATTACAGCAATACTCGGTTACTTGTATAAATCATAAAGTACCTAATAATATTCTCTGTTCTCCACTTATTTCATGTTTCTTAAGTCCAAATATTTTTCTCAGCAATTGTAGTTGTGTTCTCTCACAGCGAGAGATGAAGTTTCAGAAAACAGAAAGTACATAAATTCCTTCTCTATTATCTAAGAAAAGCAAGAACTGGCTAATGGACTGGCATGAGCAAGAAACCAAGGATATTTGTAGAGTGGTAAGATGCCTTAATCATTCTTCACATATAAGAATTGAATGCAGATTGGAAATCACCACCCTGACAAGATTTATTATGGTTTTCCATCAGGAAAAATCTGGAATAGGCAAAGTAGAGGCTGCAATTGCTTTCACTTTGAGCATCATCCCCTAGTATCCAATCATTTCTTATTATATGCCATTGCGGGATGTCAGTTCTGGTAGGACAGAGAGACAATCACATAAATATTTATAACAAATATTTGTTGCTGTTAGAAGGGTATAGATGAGCAGGCAGGCAGAGTGTGTGGTAACCGGTGAGGTGCTGTAGGCCCTGACTCTAAGGCAGGCGGTGCCTGATGAATGCTGGTGAAAGTCTGGCCACAATAAGCTGGTTCATCAGTCATCCTTGCGTCGGTGGCTGGGTGACTGCATGCTGGCCAGTCTTCTCTGCATTGGCAGGCAGATGACTGCAAGCCAGCCAATCTTCCTTATGTCAGCTGAGGGCGTTGCTGCTAACAGACATGCTGTTGCTGTCTGCGCTCCAGATAAGTTGTCTCAATGTAAGTGCAGCTGTGACTGACCACCATGTTGGAGGTCTGCATCTTTATGCACTGTCACTAGTGGCTCCCAACCTGATGGGCGTTGGAGCTGCCGTAGTCCATGCTGATTGGCTAGCACTTGCTTCAATGTGGGAGGCTCCCACACCACATCATCTCAGTAGCTAATACAGAATCATTAAATAGCCAGATATTTACCAACACTAGTCAAGGACTGCAGCCTTAGTAAATGCTCTTTCTTGCAGGAACCCATGGTGGTGCTTTCCATTTGAAGCAATTGAAGCACTTGCTGTTCATCTCATGTGGATTGCTGCTGCCACCTACTGTGCAGTTCTAGCACCTAAAACACTTCTTGCAACTCTGATTGGTGTTCTAGGGATGGCACATTTCAGTTTAGGTAATATAAACTAGGCTTTAATCAATACTGGCAATTTCATGAGTAATACTTAGTAAGAAGAGTGTAGGCATCCACTGCCTGAATAAAGTAAAGATCAAATACAACATACAATTATGAAACTTTAGATTTTCCTGTATCATGCATCAGTCACATGTACTTGTAAATCCCGTTATCACAGTATATCTACATTTCCCAGTTCATCATTCATAAATCATCCTACCGTTGGAAATGGGAGATTTCGTTTTCCTTTGTATACAAAAGGTAAGGAAAATTCAGAAGAGGGTACACTCATTATTCAGCAGACATAGAGAAGAATTAAGTGAAAGTATACTTGCAAATAATAACCGTATTCTGTATGGACAATTCTGACAATTGTTGCACAGGTCGTGGAAGTGGCAGTTATGTGGGGGGATGGTTGATCAGTGTAATGGGTACCAGGGAGTCCTTCCGCATCATGGGGTTTCTGGCCATTGCTGGTGGTGTGGCCTATGGATTGCTTCATTACTTCTGGTTGCGGAAAGTGGAATTGAATGCAAAGGATGAGGATGCAGCAGCTGCTGCAGCAGGTAACACTGGCTGATACAGCTGGCACATTTATCCAATTGATCGCAGTCACTTCACTAATTCAGCTTCATTTCCCACTATGTTCAATACCTCTGGGACCCACCCAGCCTCCTATCTGCTGGATAATGGAAGTCTCTTCTAGGGGCCAAAGCAGCCAGAACATGAATACAACCATTTGACTCCAAGCCCTTTATACACCTTCATGACTTGATAATTTGAGTGATGACTTGATAATTTGAGTGAGGCAACTTTCATCTTACTTTTTACAGTAGTAAAATTATGGGTACCTTAAAACAGGTCACGACCTTCCAGATACTATTGTTTTATGCTATATAACATATTAAGCCAATAAAGCACTGTTACACAAATCAAGAACCTTCCCAATTCACCCACACCAAACCAAAGAAAATGATGTCAACAAAAACTACCATGAATGTGTGTACAGCATGAAATTTTAACATAAACTGCTGTGGTAATTAGCATGACAATTGGTAACACTGTACAACTTATCTCACTGTGATTCATTTTCCATGCATTATGGCACTTGAGGGACACGCTGAAATTGTGATATGACTGAATAGGCATGCTGTGAACTTTCAACTACATATTATACACAGTGAATTAGGTTACATCTTTATCCTTCAGATGGCACAGTTTTGACATACATAACAAAAATAAGACTCACAAATGCCTCTGCTATGCATGGAAATTATTTCTCACTTTCAGTACTCTGTCATATGTTTAATATTTTTGAGTGATTCAAAATGAAAACCTTCCAAAGGGATTTTGTTCTGGGAACAAGAAAAACTCTCATGATGCTTATATGGTTTAGTACAATGTATGTATCAACACTGGTATTTATTCTTTGGCTAAGTCATTTCACTGAAAGCACTGTGTGGGAAGAAGTACTGTCCTGATGAAAAATGCATTAGTCTTAAAAATCATTTAGTCTTTTCTGTCTAGTGAACTGCCATAAATATTCCAAAATATTAAGGTAGATTATGTGGTTCATTGGTTGTTTTAGACAAATATTTGTAATTAATAATGCCTTTGATACCAAAACAAACTGAATTTCAATGACTGTTGGACAGAAAATTGATGAATCATGTAGCCTTGTGATCAAACACACACCAATTTACCAGTGTTCCCAGCTGTTGAACAAAAACATCAGTTTAGTTATCTGTAATATCCTGTATTACCTACCTATGCAGCTGATAAAGCATCAAGTTACACACCCTATTGCAGAATGTGGAGAAGGGGATCACCTGAACAGCGAGGCTGGTGACACTGCTGCACCCAGTGTAGAGAGATTAAGTCTAATTGTTGAAATGAACCATCATGGCTCACTAACTTCACTTCATGACAGCAGCCACAGAGGCAGTTCCATCTTTGAACTGAGGCCTGATGGAAGTGCTTTGAAGGACCTCTTACAATCTGCACATGAAGCAAACCACTGCAGAGAATCCAAACCACAACTGAACTGCAAAACTTCTGGTGGTATGTGAACAAATTATTTCTGTATTGCACATTGAAACTTTTCATGCACCATAATCTGCAATGCTTTGAGGAATAATACCTGAAGTCCTGTATTTGAAGGCCAAAATCAAGTACACTTCATTTATTCTGTGAAGAAGACAAAATTTCAAAAACAATCTCAAATGTCAGATGCTCAATACCTATTTTTTTTTTAGATTAACATGCTGACCATTGATAAGCAACACATGAAATATGTAAATGCACTGATTTGTTGGTAACCACCTACCAGACTGGAAGGTACCGTAATCCAGAAGATCAATCTAAAATGGCAGATATCTTTGATTTTACATTAGCAGCCTTCAGAAATTAATCCTATGACTAATTCCAACCTCTGGACACACACATAATACATATCCTCCCTTCGCCCCCCCCCCCACCACCAAGGAAGAACTGAGAACTTCTTAAAAAATAANTATAAGCTACAGAAAAATAAGCCATTAACATCTCATCATATGGTGCCTGTATTTATAATAGCTAGAATCTAGAATTGTACATAACAGAAATAATTAGAATCCTACATGAGATTCATTAAGATCCATGGAACATATGTAAGACACCTGTGTTGTTAGGAGCCCTGTGATTGATCAGGCAAATATGATAGGTGTATTGCAATTGGTTCAGATGAGTGATCAATGTAACTGCTGCTCCTAGACGGCAGTAGACATCAAGGCATATGGCACTTGTGTATATTTCCCTTTTCCCTATCCCAGATGCCAGGAGGATATCCCATGCAGATTCCATGGAAGCGCATGGGAGGACAGGCAAAGAAAATGGTGCTGGAAAGGCTGTTGCTCTTCCCATCCCATCCTCAACTTGACCATTCTAATTATATGAAGTTCCTCATTATGCAACTTTCTCCAACCTCCTATTATTCCATCCCTCTTCAGACCAAATATTCCCTCAGAACTCAAAATACAAATAATTTTTCCTATGCGAAAATGGAATGGCTCCAGAAAGCCCAAAATATTCTATATAACATTCAACTGCTGTCATCTGAACTAGGCCCAATCCCAATTATTGTCCTTGCTATGATGCAAGGTCCTGCCAAAGGGCTGAGATGGGCCAAGGTCCTGGACCATGCTAACCTCTAGCTGATGACAGGCTAAATTACTACAGCGCAAAATATACAAATCATAGATAATGACGTACCCTACATTTGGTGGATTTGGCACCAAACACTTCTTTGGTAATAACTCATTTCTATTTAAACTACAGGTGATTACATGAAAGCTGGCAAAGAACAGGCGACTAAGAAAAATACTGAGAATCTTCCAAAGCCAGGAAAAGCAATCCCTGCATCTTTGACCATGGAAGTGTGGAAGAACTGTCATGACTCTGTTCAAGAAGCAGAGGGTGAAGCTGATGAAGGCTTCAAGAAAGTGCCAAACCACAAGACATCCTAAGACAAGTGCTCGATAGGAAGGACTCATGTTTACAGAAAGAGGGACGATATGGAGCTTAATTTGCAAAATCTTGTAACTTTTAATTTAGTGAAACCAGTTAGTCTGACATGGATCTATTTAAAAGTATGCGTATTTTTGTCATTATGAATCTTTACTACATAATAATGTTGTGATTTTAAATATGTAATAAAATTCTTCATACAGAATGAGTAGATACATTTATATTTATTTCCATACCAAATTTCATGGCCTTGCTGCATTATTTTATAATCATTAAGGTGAAAGTGAACAAATATAGATTTTGCATGGTTACTGTATTGCCATCATATATTTGCGGGAGCCACCCATATTGAATCAAGCGCTACCGCGGGCCATGGCAGCTCCAACGCCCATTGGTTCGTGTGCTGTGGGCAACAACGTATAAAGATGCAGACCTCTGACATGCCAGTCATCAATTGCAGTCTAAGAACCATCCACTGCTATACAACGACCCAGTAATAAGGTTTCAGTGGAAACAGATTGGTATCAAACGTTAATGGAACTATAGAAGCGAGTCATTCCTTTCCAGTCAGTGCCTAAGTTACATAGTGTGGACCAACTGGAGATCAAGAGGATACAACAAGAAGGCAAAACAGAAGTGCAGAGCACTACTAAGCAACGACTAATGAAGGTACAACAGACTGGAAAATTGGGAGTGTGTTTAATGGGTGTAAGAAACTTATCCATATAATCATTCTAGCAACAATAAATATTTGTTATAGGAGTTCAGTTGCCTCTTCAAGCATCAACAATCCCACAGATTCATAAAAAAGTACAAGATTAGAGAACCTAACTTGTTGGTTTATTTAATGCTTATTCAAATGCATAGGTTATGCAGCACTAAGTGTAGGATGATTTTGTATAATGCCTTCCTGCAATGTTTCACAAATCACCGCTATGAAAGAAAATGTAAAATTTACATTTCACTTGGCTACCACATTATAATTTTAGATTTTTAAAAGAAAGTACAACTTCAAACCCTAACTTGTAATTAAGATCTAAAAGCTTGTGACGATGGTAAATTGTTACAATTAATATGTTGTTGGACATTATCCATCATCTTGCCTATTCTTAAGAAAATGTCCTGTTTCTTTTAAAACACATTTCAGGGACTCGATTCTGTCCCTGTCCTCAGGTAAAACCTACTCAGTTGGGTCCAATAGATGACAGAGCTAGCCCCTATCACTGGATAGTGTGATTTGGTCTATAATAGAGGCTCCAAAACTGTGGGGCATGAGTAGTTTCTGGGGGGGGGGAGGCGTTGTGTTGTTTGTATGAAAAACTATTTTAAACAAAATATGGGGTAACAGTTTTAAAACCCTTTGTGTTGTTTAGGTAGTTTAGTTGTCATACAGTACTACAGAATTCAAATTCATAGAGCATTGGGGGTTTCAGGAAGTAAACGTCAATATGCAGGGTATGGACAAAATAATGGAAACACTAAGAAACTGAGGGACAGAATTTGTGTTGGCTACACTGAAAGAACTTTGTTTATAGACTCTTTAGTGCTTGTGTCATTGAATTAGTGATTGTGTTGAGTGACAGTCCGTGTGAAAGAATCAGAAATTTCCAAAGAAACCTTGAGGACTGTTTAAAAAAATCACAGAACTACTGCAGCACAGGTGGGAACAGAACTGAATATTCAACTTGAAGACTGTTTCCACGAAAACTATCCAACACGAGTTTCAGAAATCCAACACAAATCCATGGAAAGGCTGAAAGTGCTAAACCTCTGGCAACTTGGCAATGTGGTGATCAAATATGATAGGCGTGTTGTGATTGGTAGAAATTAGTTACCTTCCCAAAAAAGAACAGCAGTGGTGGTTTGTGCAGAAGGTAACTGCCTGTTTCCATTTCTTCTATACCAGTTAACCATGCATCACAGATTGCTCGGACACATAGATTATTAACTACAGATAGGCTATTCATAGATTCTTGATTAAACTTAAGCCTTCTAACAGTAACAAAAACCTTCGATACTTTAACACATAAATATTTTAACTCTAATTAAAAGAATACAGAACCTAATTCGCCTTACAAAAAACAGGCATTACATAAAACTTTATCATCTGCATCCTGTACTGTGTCATGATTTGTGATATTCTGGTCATCAACACAACAAATATTTCAAAATAAAACAATTGTTTACACTGAAACGAGGAACAGGAACAACACAAAAACAAGGGTCTACATGATAATAAGTACAGATCAACCTCTAGAGAGAGAGAAACTCAACTGCCCATTACATTCAGGAAGACAAGAAGAAACACATATAAAACTATTATTATTTATATATATATATACAGGGTGTCCCAGGAGGAATGTGCCAGACTTCAGGAGGGTGTTACTTATGTTAAAGTATGCCGATATAACCCAAAACACTTATGTCCAAAGTTGAACGGTTACGGAAATAATGGCCCAAGAAAAGTGTGGTCTTCTGGCGGGTCCACGCACTGTACCTGTCAGCTGACAAGTCTTATCGATGTTTGTCCTTGAGTGTGGTGATAATGGCTCACACTGGCCACATACACTCGCATAACAGAATGCGCAGTCAGCCATGTTACGTCAGTGCTTGCCATCCATGTGTCATGTATAGTGCTTGGAACCCTAACGACAACTATGACATGACATGCAAGTTTTTTTGTAGTTCAATTTAATGGCTTCAATGTCACTCACAAGTTAGTTTGATGTTACGTACATTATTAACATTACAGAATCCACATATTCCTGCCAGTTTTAATATGTATTTTGTAATCAACAAGTGTGTAACACCTGTCAAAGTTTCACACTTCCCTGGCCATTATCTCCGTAACCGTTCAACATTGGACATAGGTGTTTTGGGTTATATCGGCATACTTTAACATAAGGAACACCCTCCCGAAGTCTGGCACATTCCTCCTGGGACACCCTGTATATATGAATAGAACAAAAACATTTGAACATATCAGCAAACCCCAAAGATAAATATCACCTGCAATATGTGACAAATAACAATATTTTACATTATAATGATGAGAGAATAAAAAAAAATCAGTTTACAATTTTAATAATTAGATGTATTATGATGATTATAATGATTAACACTAATATGGACCCATATTAGGCTATTTCGGTAATGTGGGACGCATTTAATGAAACTACCAATAAGTGGTCCAAAATATGGACTGAAACATGTAGCAGTTATTATTGAAAACCAATGTAACACACTCAGACTGCATTAATTTGAAATATTTGTTGTGCTGATCACCAGAGTATCACAAATTACATAAATTATAAAAACTTAAAATAAACACTGGCCAATGTGGAGGGGTACTAGCAGACAAGAGAAAAAAGCGCAAGCTCTCTCCTACTACTACATCAGCTGCCTAAAATAATCGAAGGTTACTGCCAGAATAGCCCTCGTAATTGACCCCATTCCCATGAAACTTTTCATTTTGAGGACAGATATAGAACTAAAAAGCGACCATTGGTTGGGACAGGCCAATAATTTTTTTGTGCTCTCATTTCCAGGTTCTAAATTGCCTATATAAGTATTCAGGATGGCATCATTTTTCATGGCTACAAATTTACTTTACTGTATTTCGACAATGAGGCCTCAACACTTCAAGCTGGGAGTGAGCTTGTTCACACAGTGGCTGCTGTTATTAACCTTTAACGGCCGAATGACTCGTATACATGTCGCAAACAGGGACCGGAGTTGGCCGAATGACAAGTATATGTGTCGCAGGACACGTGCACTCTTTAGGAGTGCTGACAGTTTGACCTTGGGTTTGAAACCAAAAGAAACCTACGTGAAGTCATGTCAGTGGCTCATTCCTTAGCTCTGAACAAACAAATCGTTTATCTCGGTCCTGATTTCAAAACTATTTATGTTTATATATGACTGTTTATGACCTGGTGAGCCAAATGTAGCCCAGCTTTGTTCTGAGAACTGAAGAGGAAATATTTGTCGGTGCTTACAGATCAGTGCTTCCAAAGCTTTCAAGGAAGTGTGCCGTATTCAAGGACTGGTTTTCAGTGGCGAATTATCAGTTAGGAAGTCAGTGTCGGATTGTGTTAAAAAGTTAGTGTCAGACTCATATATTTCTGTTTATATTATTTTGTGTCTCAGAAGAGGTATAAACCCACTGAGCCAGTATTTGTTTGTGAGTAGAAGGCATCTTCGTCACTGTGACTTTCCGTATCAGTGTCGGACTGGCACCTTTTCGACTACTATTACAATTATTATTTTTTATTGCTAGTGGGGTGGGACTAAGTCTCTTGTACTGCTGCCACTTCTGGCCTATTGTACTATACTATTACAGTTACTTTGCATCACTATTTTGCAAGTCTTTGTGAATCATCATAATTTATTCGATTTTGCTGGAAACCCCCCTCCCCCAAGATGGAACCTCAAAAACATGCCTGATGTTGTTACAAGAGTCAAGGGGCAGCTAAGTGTTGTTCGTTGGAAAGACAAGCGTGATGTGTATGTTCTGACGAATTTGCACCCTCCTCCATTGGAAGGCAACTTCCGAGAAGAATCTGGCCGTGCTGTCAAACCCCATGTAACTGAAGACTACAATGCACACATGGGCTTTGTTGATAAATCTGACAGGATGGTAAACAGTTATGGCATTGCTAGGAGGACATGGAAGTGGACAAAGAAATTGTTTTTCCACCTTCTAGATATGACTATTCTAAATGCATATCTATTACATAAGTCATGTGGTGAAAAAATGACACACAAAAAGTTCTGCAAAATATTGGTGCGGGATTTGATTCTTCAGTCACATGAGGCGAATATCACAGTCAGTGGCGTTTCTCGGGGGAGGCCAAGTTCATCTGGGGCCCAACTGAGTCAACTGGAGGTGAAACATTCACAACACTGGCCAGCCAAAGAAAAACAAAGATGTTGTCGTATTTGTTCTCAGAATAAGAAGCGCAGAACCACGGCCTACTACTGTAGAAAGAGTAACGTTGCGCTACGTGTGGAGGACTGTTTCGAGAGTGGCACACACGCGTCAGAGTGTGAGACAGCGTAAACTGTGAAGTGACGCAGTTCAAACTCACATACAGTTTGAACAAAATATTACTGTATATAGTGTGATCATATCTACAATATCATCATCATTCAAGATTGAAGAAAAAAACAATGGGTAAGCCCTTTGGAACTTCATAACATATATAATGAAGAGTATGTTTTGCATTTCATGACAAAATATTCACAGTTAATTTTCATCTGTAAAACTTGTTCTTTTATGTATATGTAGAAAATTTTGTTGTCTTTCAGGTTCTTTTTAGTTCATATTTCTATGTTGCATAGAACAGAAAATATGCATTTTTTCTGAAAGTTTGCGGTGATAATTAATTGGGGTGATTTAAATTCCGGCCGTACAGGGCTCCTGGCAATTTAAAAGTCCGTACGTTAAAGGTTAACAGCGAATGAGCTACACTACCATGTGATAGCACCACAGCCATTTTTGCATGTGGCAAACATCAGTGCAATGAACATGCATATTACCACTATACAGAACAGTTTCTGATACGACTTTAGGCCATCCCATGTCAGTGAACACAGTCAATGCAATGAGGCAGGTTCTCGTAGAAAGATAATTTCTGTTGTGATATAATGAGGACAGTAGTTCTGTTGATTTATAAGAACAAAAGGGTTAACTTATTCCAGGAACTATATAACTGTAAGGATCAGAATACAACACTAACCTTTTTTCAGCTTTCATGTTTCAGTTGCGACATACATTTACAATAACGAATTGTACAGAGAGTAAATTTACAGTCAGTGGCAGTCGAAATCAACCCATTCAAATGTAAGAGATTCAGCAGGGATTCATGTACACATAGGTGTGAAATGCTAAAATGTGTCCTGAACTCAAAATCATGGATAAATAAATAAATATCCTCCCTCAGTTATTGGTTCACTGCAAAATGTGGTCCTGGGATGTAGAGTAATTGAAAGGTATCGCAATACACATACATTGCTGAAACTGCTACAAACAGTAAAGTTAAAATTTTTACCATTTTTTGTGTCCATAAATTATCACTCATGTGGCAGTTTAACAAAACTCTCCTCTCCTGAATTCTATGGGAAAACAAAAACACATTTTCCCCATGAGAAGTTCATAGTACAAAAAGGGGATGGGGAATATGCACTATAAAAGCTTCAATATTTTTAACAACCTATATCACTCTGTTCTGTATCACCAGTTCATAAAAATGTGTTCATGGTCACGAATAGCTACAAGATTGACTCAAGATTTTATGCAACTGGGGAAATTCAGGGAGCTGCCATACCATATAATTTGCATATACAACAAGCCTTCACATTTCTTCCACTAAGGCCCCTCATGCTCCAAACATTCTCAATTTGAAACACACAATTTATTTCAGTTTTAAAAAAGGCCACCTTATATCTTGATGTTTGAAATGCTTAGCATCACACAACGGAACCTGAAAACTTCTTCCAGAGACACAAGTTCCAGTAATATCCTAGCTGCCCGCTCGGTGGGACACATTACATGCTTCCATTCCCTCTGTTATACCCCATGTTATGGTGAACATATGGATTCCCTGGAAATGCTGGCACACCAACTGTACCAGAGTGTGCTATTGCTGCTGCTACAGCTGAAGACATGGACGTGCCTTGATGTTGGTACAGGTGGTTTAATGATGGTGGGAACTCATGCAACATGGCACTATGTTGCTGTTGCTGATTATGGTGATGCATCTGACTAAGACTTGAAAGATCCCGTTGACTTGCTCGATCCAGATCAAGCATGTCTCTCTCAGAGTCACCACTACGGCTTAGTGTTGCCAAACTGTGGTGATGCTGTTGACGATGTACTTGGTGCACATTTGAGTTCAGAGCAGAGATGTGTGGCCTCTGACTTGCAGAACTTGGAAATCCATCCATAACCCTCCGCCCTCGGGACATCAGATCTGAATCGTCCATTCCAGATAAGTTTGAGGAACTGTTCATAGAATGCTGTTGTTGTCGGTTTGAGTGTATCTCAGAAATATTCAGATTCAGTGGTGCAAGTGACTGGAGGTGGGTGGCATTGAGAATCGAATCAGCAGTTGAACTGTTTATACGTCGGGAACCATTCATGCTCATGGCAGTTTGACTGCGATCACAAGAACCATCATCACCTGCAGACACCTGCAAACCATGCGCACTACTGCGTGAATGCTGAGATAGTCTTATATTGTTGCAGTTGTTCGCCTCTGCATCCCTTATCATGGAGGCTGCTGTCGAGATAGGTACGAGTGATGGCAACATAGAGGCATTCCTCAACATACTGGCACCAGAACCAGTGGTTAAATGTCCCATTACAACCCGTGCCACACCTGGGTCTGATGACACACTTCCTGAGAAGTCTATACTGGAAGATGATGACATAGATGCTGCGAGATTTGTAGAAGGTCTTGACACATTAGGACTGTGTAAATTTTTTAGTGTTGGGCTACCATACATGTGTGAATCAGAAGAGGACCGCCTCTGGAATTCTGAAATGGGGACAGAGATTTCAGATTTTGGCACAGGTGTCAGAGAGTTCGGTAATGACGAATTCATACTGATATTGGGCTGGTCAGCTGGTTGCTGCTCTGCATTAGAATTTGACCCTGTCACTGCAACTGATGGAGCCGATTCTGATGGCGCTTGGGAATCATTGTTTTCCGCAGCTGCAAGGGATGCTTCATACAAACGTAATTCTTCAGGATGCATGCGACGTTTATGTGAACGGCAGTTGGAACCATTGGCAAATGTGCGGGGACAGAATGTGCATGTGTAAGGTCGCCGTCCCGTATGAAGATTGTGATGATTCTGAAACATATGAACAATGGAATCCATAGAGGATATTTATAATGGTATATTATAAAAAAATACATTTTTATAATGTATACCATATGTAGAGGTACACTAGATACAAATGGGCTTCCTCATCTGTTTGAAGGTGGACAGCCCTGTCTTAAGGCAAACAATCATGAAAGATTTACTGACTGCAACTTGGCTCCATACAAACCATGCTACTAATGAATAAGTATGAAATAGGGTCTACAGCAGATGTATTTAGTTCTTGGGTTATTCAGTGACACCTACCTGATGGTGACATCAAGAGAGAACAATGAATGGAATTTCTGAGTTATGTGAAGATAAAACACTCTGAATACCTTATATTAACAGACAACTTATAAAAACAGACAAATTACAAGGCAGAATCTGAAACACTGGGAGGACACACAATTATAGATAACATCATACCATTTCTTGGAAGAACTACAATGCCACCATCAGGATTACAAATATTGAAGACACGTAGGATAAGCAGCAGCTATTGTTTTATAAGGTCTCACACTGAAGAAAGAACAGGGATTGTGGTTGCATGAGGAAAATATCTGGAAGCAAGGTGTGATAAAGACTGGTAATAGGAGAAAATTACATGATGACACCTTTTCATAACACTGTTAGAGTACTTAATTAAAGAAAGATGCGATGGACAGAACATACATCCATACAAGAACAAGAAATGCATTCAACATTTTAGTTGGAAAAGCTCACTGGGGACCTCGGCATGGATGGGAGGAAAATGTAACTGATGTTAGGGATGAAGAAATGGCTGAATCTGGATTGTACTGACTTAGGGTGGACCCCAGTGACAAAACTTTATGATAGTGATGATGAACTTCAGTTCTGTAACAAGGAATTTCTTGATCAGTTGAATAATTAAGGATGACTGCACTATGGAGCCAGTAAATAACCAGTAAATCACATCTGTTCTTGAAGATTCTTGTAATGAGCGGCTATCCCTTTGATGGCCACTGTAAAAGGAAATCTGTGTAAAACAAATGCACAATAAATTCCATTTACAAACCACAGGGCACAAAAACAGTAAAGAAAATAAAAATGAGTGGAAAAGAATACTCCATTTGACTTTAAATAATTAGCATCCTTACATGAACCTATCATTAATTACTGCAGGTCCCAATTAATTTCTTCAGCTTTTTCTATTTCTGCCGCAAGAATTCAGGGTAGGACAGACATCATCATCTGTTAGATATTTATGGTGTAGTTTAGTTAGTTAGTTAGTTAGTTATTTAGAGAGGGTGGGTTTCCCCATGCACCGCAACCAGTTTGATCTACTGTGCTTCCCTCTATGATATTCTACCAGTCTCTATACCCTACCGATAAATGCTGCGTACCATCAGTCCTGCCGAGCAAGCGAGTTCGGTCACTTGCTTAGCGATGTCTATAATGCTTCCCCCATCTATCAGAGGCCTTAGAGACTACTGTTGGGCAGGAAACATCCTGAAATTTGGCTCCGTGATCCCCTTTGGGGATATGAGGTTCTTTTACGTGCCGTAAAGTTACGACATGGGACACACAGCTTAAAGTCCCTCCCGGAGGACTTGTTCCCTGAATTTTTCCGCCCTTAAAAATTTGACGACCTCCACCGGGTATTTGAACCCGCGTACCACGAGTCATGAGGTGGGAACGTTACCTCTAGACTACAGAGTCCGCTTATTTATGGTGTAAGTAGACATTAAAAATCTCTAACACAGGGCAAACTATGACTATAATTGTCAAAGGTAATTAAGAATACAGAAATGTATTATTATATCAATTTGCATAATTTATGGCTCTGCTTAATTGACACGCCCCAGCTTTCAGAAAAACAATTATATGCCACATTTTTTCCCTTAACAACATATTTCAAACGATGCACTATCACTCACTCACTCACTCACTCACTCATGGAGTTGAACTCTTCTTCAGAATCTGCAAATTGTGCAGCTACTCAAGAGCTTCCTAGCATTTTATGGAACTTGAAGGTTCATTACCATGTTCATAAGAGCCCTCCACTGGTCCCTATCCTGAGCCAGATCAATCCAATCCATACCACCCCACCCTATCGCTCTAAGATCCATTTTAATATTGTTCACCCACCTATGCCTTGATCTTCCCAGTGGTCTCTTTCCTTCTGGCTTTCCCACCAATATCCTATATGCATTCCTCTTCTCCCCCATTTGTGCTACATGCCCTACCCACCTAATCCTCCTTGACTTGATCATTCTAATTATACTTGGAGAAGAGTACAAGTTATGAAGCTCCTCATTATGCAGTTTTCTATAACCTCCTGTCACTTCATGTCTCTTCGGTCCAGATATTCTCCTCAACACTCTGCTCTCAAACACCCTCAAAAGACGGCTTTCTTCTTAATTACAAATTCCATGAAAATTACGTGCTGGCTAAAATTATATAAGGGGGCATTTAATTTCCAACGTTAAGAAGCAAACTGCAGTGGAATACATAGGCACAAATATCCACACCATGTTGCTCATCACACGCAACTTTAATATCGTTTCTGTGAAAATTATACATTGGTGAAAATTTTATCAAGGGAAATTTTCATCTCAGTGTTGAAGTAATCACATGGTGGAATACACAGGTTTGAATATCCACACTGTATTGCCGCACCTTGTTCAGCTTTAATCACTTTTCCCATGAAAATTATGTACAGGTTAAAATATTATCAGGAGGTATATTTGTCTCAACGATCATCAAGGAATCATATGGTGGAGTCCATAGGCATGAGTACCCATACAATGTTACCACAATGCATCCAACATTCAACTACCTTACTTCAATCTAACACGTAAAATTATACTCTAACAAGTTAACACTTGCATATTTTATGCACCACAACATTCAGAAAAGGCTTTTTGTTTTAAAAGAAAAAGTGCATAAATTACATGAATAACTATGCTATTTTACATGTATTGTGTTAATTATAAGCAATATAAAAAAATGTTGAAATATAAGTTCTAGAGCTCACTGTATCTTTTACAGCACAGTCTGTGAAGACAAGAAGTTCGATTTGAGCTTCATATGGAGCAGAAAAGTATCTTTAAAGTTTGTGATGATCATATAATAATATAATTTAATGACTTTTTGTACATTATCCACTGTCCTGTTTTTCTATTTAAAAACGATATTTTGTTTACTGGAGTGTGTCTGTTCTCAGGCAAACACCTCATTAGTTCAACCCAATTAAGAGAGCTAGTCCCCATCTCCAAACACCCAAATGTTTTCTAGTGTTGGCTTCTATTTTGACAGTATTCTGATTTTATGGACTCTGGCCACAGGTGCAAGGCTTCATGTGTATGGATATTTTAATGGTTATCTGAACTCTTGCTGATTCTTTATGTCCTGCCTTGTGTTGGTTCTGGTGTTTGAAGACAGTGACTAGCCCTATCGACTGGGCCCAACTGAGTTGGCTTTTACCTAACGACTGGGACAGAATCCAGTCTCCGAAACGTTGTAAAATGGATAATGGATAATGTCCAAAAGGTCAATAATTGTATTAAACTTATATCTGTTCAACAACTTTCAGTGCAGACTTTCAATTCCAAATTTAGTGAAATCTATTTGCTAGTTTTAGTGCTAAACTTCGAAGACAAGACACAGATATAAAATCATTTTAGGCACTCCATGCAAGGGAAACACATGTTACTGAATAATAATAATAATGTGCAGAGAACTTTGGTTGAGAAACCTCACAGAAAGTAGCTCCTTCCAAGACCGAAGGGAAGGCAGGAAAATAATATTAAAGCTGAATTGAAGCATATAATATTATACGTGAACTGAACTTGACCAGTATGATGTACAATGGTTCTGAACTTTCAGGTTCTACTACCAAGTGTCAGTAACTAAACTTAGGACTGCAGAACAAATCATGGCCATTTATTAAGGGGCCTGGCAGTCACTAGACAAAGGCATAATTTGGCCATGTACTTAATTCAGCACCAAGCCATGAAGATGTATGGGGGAATGGAGGTATAACTTCATCCATCAATCCACCTTGGCACTTGACGGAGGTGAGTGGTCAACTTCACCCTCTGGCAGTTTTCCCCTAAGCAAAGATCCCACAGTATTTACTGAACAGGGGGCTAGGTGGGCCCCACAACGAGTCTGGATATGGTCAGGCCGAGAAAAATCTCTGCTGATGTTGGGAACCAAACTCCAGTTATCTAGCCCATAATCTAGGAACTATACTGACTGAGGCCGCGCCACAGCTCAAGCGGTTAGTCGCTGGCTTCCCATCACAGTGGCCCGGGTTCGATTCCTGGTCTGGTCAAGTGGGATTTGTGATGGACAAAGTGGCGCTGTCGCAGGTTTTCTCCGAGTACTTCAGTTTCCCCTGCCAATCTTCATTCCACCAATTGCTCCACAATCACCCTCACCTAACATTTGGGGCTGGTACAGTAGGCCAGAAGTGGCCGCAGTACAAGGGACTTAGTTCCACCTCACTAGCATTAAAAAAACTATACTGACTGAGTACTTTGACAGTGAACACTTCAAGTGACCTGGCAAAGTCATGACTGTAAGGAAGGCCAAAGTACAAGGGAGAGGAGGGAAATAAGCTCCAAGAATGTGTCCTAATGTACAAATAATATGTGTGGTCACAGTGAGACATCAATCATAGGTGGTAAGTTTAAGCTTCACTCACTTTAAGGTCTTTTGCACGCCGAAATGCTTTACCACAAGTTGCACACTGGTAGGCCTTGGTATCTCGATGCACTACAAGGTGCATGCGCAATGTGCGTCTTGTGGACAGCTGCAGAGGGCACACTGGACACTGGTAAGGAGTCTCCCGATGCGTGTCACTGTGAATCTTCAGCCGGTACTTTGTCTTGAAACTGCAGCATCACAGATTCTTTAGCCACGATAAATCTCAAATGTTATTTGAAATTAGCAAACTGCAAGACAGAACTTATGCTACTCATTTAAACTAACCTAACTGAGCAGTTACGCCTGTGGTCTTCGGAGTTGACACTGTGCAGTTCTGTGGGTGGATACTAATATTTCAGAGAAACATACTGCCTCCATTTTCAAGGTTGAAGGGTGTAGGTCCAGGAATAGGCTTCATTATATAGGCAGGCTACAAGTAAGGAGAGGAGGTAAAGAAAGAAAACTGGTCTGAACGAGTGGGAAGAAATAAGGCCCTTATAAGGGGCAGACCAGTTTACTGTCACAGGTGAGAAATTACATAGTTGGAAAGAATGGACCTTTTGAAGGATCCACTGTCATTATCAGGAGGACAGTAGAAGCAGATGAAACATGGGGAAAAAATGCCCCTTTTCAGAGCTGAGACTAAAATCATCAGGTGTATACAGCACTCTCTGCAAGCATGGGAAGATAAACATTGGACCGACCAGTCATTCCACACAGATGTGGCTTGATGAACACCATAATCACATCCAACTGTATCAACGTCAGAAGTCAGCCAAGGCAGGGCACAACTCTGATCTTTGTAATCCTGATGAACAACACTAGCACCATGGTTAGGATGTCAAGGTTCAGGGTTCAGCTAATAAGCAAAGGGACAGAGCTCAAGCTCCACCCCAACAACATAAACAGGGAGGATGGGTTCTGCCTCAGCAGTTCCTCAAAGCCTCTCATCCACTCTCTGAAGGAAAGGAAGAAGTTCCCTCCAAGAACAAACCGGTTACTTCCTCCTAAATGACCAGGGTCCTTGATGCAAAAAACATGGCTGTTCCTTTAGTTTCCACATCCCATTCCTTGGGGCCCTGAAATGAGCAAGTACTTTACAAATTCTCAGTTAAAATTTCCTTTTTGTGAGAAAAACTTATGATGGCCCTGAAAAGGGCCATTTTGGAACATTTCTCACATAATTCCACTCTTCTCTTGGATAAAACAGTGGATCCCTGTAAAAATCTGCTCTTTCTCATCATTCCATTTCCCAGCTGTGACTATAAACTAGTCTGCCCCTTACTAGTGTCGATTCTGTCATTTTTCTTCCCCCCGGCTTGGACAAGATTCCTTTCTTCACCCCAACTCCTTGGGTCCCACGACCACCTCTGTAACCTGCTTATATGACCAAGCCTATTCCAAACATTTCAGATTTCAAGATAGCTGCAGCATATTCCTGCAAAACATCACTACGCACCCACACAACTATACATACATCGGAAGACCACAGTTTTAATAAACACTGTCAACTGGACCACAAAAATTTAAAATTCAGCAGGTTTATGCAGCAGTAAGGATCCAAACGTATGTTTGGTTGTATCCATTTTCAATGCTGAACAGCTTCCCATATCTAATGACGATTTTTCATGATATTGAAGTCTCTTCAAGCATATAAGAGTACCAGTAATTTCAAACAGGCTATAAAACTTCTTTACAAATTTATTTTTTTTTTCCCAATGGCTCTTCCAGCCCATTCAGGGCCCTGGCCTCGTATTCAGTTCCGTAATCATTTTTCACAGACAGTAGGACTCCTTGGATGACTGATCAGCCCATCGCAAGGCTTACCTAAACACATGACAACACAAACACAGAATAAACACCACACATCCATGCTCTTAGTGGGATCTGAACCCACAATACCAGCGTCTGAGTGAGCGAAGACAGTTCATGCCTCACACCGCATGGCTACTGTGACTGGCTTACAAATCTTTACTTGCTGATAAGATATCTTATCTCCGGATTACTGTGTTTCTGGATTTCATACACCGTCTAGTATTCTGAAGAACATACTAAGAAACAAAATGTTTTAGAAACTGGACCTGTTTCCATCCTCAGCTGAGGGGGTGGGAGACATCTACTGTGTTGGGCCCCTCACAAATAGCTAACCTCAATCACTGGTCATCCACTGACTTGTCTTTCTCTATTTTTCACTCCTGTGAGCTTGCCTATTTATAAATGAGAAGCAAATCTCATGAAACCAGAAAGATTAATGAAATCTGCTGGAGCAATACAGTACCTCAGTAAAAAAATCAGAATGTTCTGGGAGAAGACCTAACCTTCACTGGTTGAAAGAGGAAATCTCTTAATCATGATATGGCACCTGGCTGAATGCGAAAACAATGTTCCATTAACATCATGATATTATTAAAATATTTAAATCTTCAGGAAGAAAACTCTTTTTCACTGCGTGTGTCTAAAATGTTTCTCAAATCAAAGAATGTCAGATATTTATTGGTAACTGAATCATACATCTCTAAGTGGTGATTTTGTAGACAAACATCCTCTGACAGCTGAAAAATCTTAGAATGTTTTTAGTTGTCTCCAATCCTTCTTAATTTTTTTTTTCCCCCATGAAATGTCAAAATGAGACAAATATCTAGAGGTGCTTCAAACATCTGTGCTTAGTTCACCAACCCTTTCACAAAATCTGTGCTCCCATCAGCCTTGTTATTTAAACCAGGCATTATTGTTCCTAAATTACATATATAATAATGACAATGATGTAATTGCTTATGTTTCATGCATTTTGCTTTTTCCCAGTGTAGGGTCTAATAAAACCCAGGAGAACAACTGCATGACACATTGAAGCAAGGATTATCACACAACCCTACACTGCACTGGACATTCGAACTGTGTCCTGCTTTCTATGTTTCTTTCTTATGAGACATGCTTCCTTCTACAGGCCAATATTCACTGTGTCATATGTCAAGTTGGATGTTGGTGGTGGAAATAGTTGCCTGCATGGAGTGATGAGGTTGTGGCACAGAGCCTCAAAGTTAGTCATACCTCTTTTTGCACTGAGTGCATTTGAATGGTGTTTCATCACTGTGGATGGTGAGGTGCTCCTGTAGGATTCCCTTTGAAGTGAAGCTGTGTCCACACTGATCACATACGAAGGGTCGCTCGCCAAAGTGAACTGCTTTCAAGTGAGCTGACACTGCCGACTTACTGCTGAATCTAGTTACATCAGAAATATCATACTCCACTGGAACATGAATGATTTAATTTCTTCTTATGTGTCTACATAATTGGTAAAAACCATTCTAAGCTGTATCTTTGTTGAATGAAACACCAGTGTCTCAGAAGTTCCTGCTTTAGCTACTAGGGTTGATGTGAGGCAACGATTTCCCCTGCTCCATTTCTACTTACGTGTGTGCGCGCATGTCTATCATCCTTACACAATCATTTTACAGGGGTACCTGGATGTATGCACTAGTTGGATTCTCAGAAAATGCTGCAGAATGTGAATAACATGTAATCAAAGATCTCCAGGGGGACATTTTCAATGTGAAACATGATAACTGATCTTTTGGGTAATTTAAAAGTAAAGTCAAAAGGCAATAACAACAAATTTACATTATGAATATTATTTACTGCAACACTAGCACTTACCAAAAATACTTCTGAAGGTCACCTAATTTGCTTAACTTAAAAAGGCTGAGTTTTATGGAGGCCAATATAAGACAGAAATAGTAAGGGCATCAAAGAGCTTTTCTCTGCACCTCAGTCAGCACTACAATTTCTGAGCTTGAATAACTGAAACTTTCTTATCTTTGTCTTTTTATGAAATGAGGAGAGGAGCCCAAAACCAGCCACATTAATAAGAATTACATTACAATTAAATCTGCATATACAGGATATCCCAGGAGGAAAGGTCAATATCTGGGGAGGTCACAGTATGATCATTCTAAGCAAAAAAAGTGTATATGTGTCTTATTATGAATGGTTTTTGAGATAGAGCTCTTTCACTGTGCAGTAGTTGGATTTGGCACCCAATATTGTCCTTCCATTCTGTTGTACTGCACCACTGTCTGAAGCATGTGAATCTGTGTGACACGTCAGTTGGCTGTTGTGACTGTTTATAGTGACATTATAGGATTTCATCCAAACAGGCACGTCAGTCATGTGGAGGAACAGAAAAATATTCTTGAAATGGTAAGCATATCCCTACTACTAGCATGTGAAGACTTTCTACATGTCTCAGTGTTTCACGAACATTTGTATGGTGAACATTGCATGATGCTTGTACCAATTTCACCCACAGCATGTGCAAAATCTACACCCAGGGGACAGTGCCATGTATCTAGAATTTTGTCATTGGTTACATACTAAACACCAACTGCTTCCATTAACACTATTCACTGATGAAGCTACTTTCAACTGTACTGGAATCTATATATACGTAGGTTGTACCAAAAGTCATGAGCAACTTTTTTTGCATGCAATCTGGGAACAGCAGACGAAAGAGAGTACGGTGTTAGGTGGAACCAGCTGTTGTGTTAACCTTGAGTGTCTTGTGATGTCAATAGCTTGCATCACGTGACCAGTATCACTCCTAACAAAATGGTCAGCAACCGTATGTCGTTTCGCCAGCGTGCTGTCATGAAATTTCTTGTGAAAAAGGAAATCTCTGCTGCAGAATTCACCAGACTTCAGCATGCTTATGGAAGTGTGTGCATGTGTGTGAGCAGTGTTTGAAGATGGGTGAAACATTTTAAAGATGGGAACACCAGCATTGAAGATGAGCCTCGGAGCAGGAAAGTTTGTGCTCGCTGGGTCCCACGGTTATTGACCGAAGACCACAAAGGTCAGCGAAAAGCCATCACCTCAGAACTGCTGCAGAGATATCGACACGAAGGCAATGATTTTTTTGCTCTGTATTGTGACAGGTGACGAAAGCTGGTTTCACCATTTTGAGCCTGAAACGAAATGGCAGAGTATGGAATGGCACCATTTGCATTCTCCATCAAAAAAGAAGGCAAAGACAGTGCTATCAGCTGCGAAGGTGATGGGCACAGTCTTCTGGGATGCAGAGGGGTTTATTCTGGCCGAATTCCTGGAACCTGGGCAAACCATCAATGCTGCTTGTTATGTCCAGACGTTGCACAAGCTCCGTCAGGCATTGCGCGATAAACGTCTGGGACAAAACATCATCATCCTGCATGACAACGCTTGCCCCCATGCCACTTGCCTCACATTGGAACCAACTGCAAAGATGGGGTGGGAAGTTCTTCCACACCCCTCCTATAGCCCTGATCTGGCACCCTCCGACTACTATCTTTTCAGATTTGTGAAGGATCAGCTGCACGGACGTTTTGAGACAAGGGAGGCAATTCAGAAAGCAGTGCATCAGTGTCTTCAGATGGCTGGAATGGAATTTTAAAGAAGGGGAATTTTCAAACTCCCAGAGCGCTGGGAGAAATGTGTACAAAGAAGTGGCAATTATGTGGAAAAATAAAGAAAGGTCTGTAGATAGTACGTAATATCTCATTCTCATCAACAATTTTTTAAGGGTACAGTGAAATAGCTCCATCTCGGAAAGCGTTCATAATAGGACACATGTACATATACAATTTTTGCTTAGAATGGCCGATACTATGACCTGCCAGAATACTGACATTTCCTCCTGCGTCACCCTGTATATTGAACAACACAAACTAACAATGTCTAAATCAGGACATACCAAAGTACACTACTCTTTGAGTAGTTCCACATAATTCACAGACTCTGGACTTGTAAAACCCAGTGCACCTTATATCACTTGTAAATAGAAGCATACAAAGCTTCTGAAATATCAGAATTTCATTAAAAACTGATGTATTCCATAAAAGAAGAACATTTCACTTAAAGTTTTACCATAGTCATACTTCAGTTCAATTGCTTCTTAGAGCAGGCTGTCTGCATTTCATAAGTTGCCATCACACACATTCAGTTGGTCCTTATGCCACTGATTTTGGGTATTCCTTTGCATGACTAACACTTAAGACACTCTATAACTCTGCAGTATGCTCTGAAATCACCTACTTAACTTTCCATAAGTACAGAAAATTAAATATCCAGCACTTCTACCGGTCACAGCCTCTGACTGCTAGGCAACAACCTGCAAGTGTGGCCACCAGTAACTTCTTGTGTGGACTCCAGTGATTTTCATGACTAATAAATATTTTGTTCAAAACCTTATCTCAGACATGAGATAAATTTTCTTCATAACTTCTGCAGACTCGACTATTTTTACCATGTGTTGCAGGTCTGTGCTATATAGCTGCATCCCTTCTTTCATCTCCATTTATTGAGAACTGTGTACTGCAACAAACTGATGGATGAAAATCTTCCTCAGCTACCAGTGAAAGAGTGTCCAGTGAACATATTCCCATTTAGCAAGATGCTGTATATTAACACTTTCCCCATGCTTTGCTTCAAATTATAAATTAACGGAATCCCTCTTTATGGGGTATGTCATGCATGCAAAAAGTTACATGTTTTATGACATGTGGTCACAGAACATAAAATGGCCAGAGGAAATTTTTGTTTGAGGACTGCTGCATTAATGCAGAGACACTTACTTCTTAGAACAAATGTCACACGGATAGATGAGTCTCTCCTCTCGTGGGAGGTGCACTCTCTCATGCTGGCGCAGCAGAGCTTCACAGTGGAATCTGCGAGCACACTTACAGCACACGAATGGCTGCTCTTCTTTTGGAACATGTGACAGAACATGAATATCATACAGGGCACGGCGATGGAATGCTTTGTCACACTTGGTACACCTGCACAAGACATGCAGAGAAACAGTGAGGAAACACTGTAGTATGTTTCAAAGCATGCTGTAAGCACTTTGAAGCATTATCTATGAAACTGCATAAAATGAATCCAGAATGTGGATTTCCTGTCTGTCTGTCTGTATGCTGCATCTCATAAACCGCTTTATGGATAAGCAGTGTTTATTAGCATGATTTGTGCACCTTTCAACCCCAAAAATTGAGTTTGAAACTTGTGATGCATGAGATATGTAAATATCTCTTTAAAGAATATATTTTAATCAACAGATTAGGAACTTTATGACTACATATTAGGGAGAAAAAGCACAATTCTTATTTCTTTCAGTGTAAATTGTAACCATCACTTTGAACTTGGCTGGAACTGTTTTAGATTGGTAGCACCTCCCAGCAGAACTGCCAATATGGACACGTCCTACTTGTGAAGAACCTTCCATTTGTGTTTGGACCCACAGCACAATCAACAAGCCTACAAGACAATAAATCTCAAACAAAACCCACCCAGGTAAGAGAACACGTTGAAAATGTTAAATGGTGTCACCCATGCATCTGTCGCATTTCCAGGAAATGTTCAGTAATGCACTGATGTTCCTTTTCAGAAACAAAGCAAACCTGAAATTTTAAAATCTGGTCTTTTCTGCAAAATGTCTAAGTCATTTTTGAGAAGAATGTTCAAGCCTAGCAAAGATTCCATCCAATTTCTCTTTGGTGAATGCTTGATGTATTAATAGGTTCTTTTTTTTTTAATAACACCACTATCTCCTAAATTAATTTACTACAACATGAGTAATTTTTCTTTTTCAAATTGTAACATCCTGAAATTAATGCAGGAATTTTCTCTCACTTTTCACATGAGTATCATACATGAATACTCGTTTCAATCTGTAACTCTCACATGGCATTTCAACACAAGAAATAACAGGCCTAACTGAATGCTTAATACAGTATAAGGGGGTTGGGATTATGGTTAACTGGCATATAATGCATAAACTCAATTCACACTAGCTTTTTAAAAATTTATTAAAGTGACAATGGGGAAAAATTGTGATGTGTTGACTATGCTAAGAGTCTGAACAAGCACACTGTAAGTTGTTGCGATCAGAGTGTGTCCCCCAGCCGAACTAGCTGAAAGATTTCAAGCAGGCCTTCAGACAACCATTTGGAAATATTTCCAAACCCGAATCGCTGCTTATTATTGCCAATTTAATGTAAGACCATACATGTGAAAGGCACAGGGATGTGGGGAACCTGACTGACAGCTTTTCCTCTCCTGCATGTGCCTCCTGTGCCCCGAGGGACACGTATGTCATGGCAACTGTCTGAACAGTAATCATTTGTGAGTTTGAGCAAGGAAAACCTGTTTAGAGTTGTGCACGTCATGAGCTGAGTTCAATTCCAGAAAGACACACTCAGTAAACTGTGAAGGGTAATGAGCATGAGTGCATCAGAGGTTTAAAATATTGAAAACCCTTAAATTCTGATGTCATCAGTTACATCTGCCATAACAGAACTGAGTATATCATAAGGTTTAAGAAATTTCATGTTGATTTTCTTTAAATTATTTTCAAGGATGTACCAATGTATTTCACGTAGATTTATATGATAATATAATTGATTCTGCATTAATTACATTCCATCAAGTGTAAAAAGTCTCACTCTTATCTAATTAACCAAATAAGAATTAGGGATACTATAAAAAAAATTATAGCTCACTTGCCCAATTTGAGAAAATGTCCCTTGATAAAATTTTGACCAATATGTATTTTTTACAAAAATTGCAAATGAAATCACCCATGTCATGTTGCCATATGGCATTCAACTTTACCAACTAAATTTTCTGCAAAAATTATATCAAGGCGCATATCTGTGTCGATGTTTCTCAAGGAATTGCACGGTAGAGCATGCAAGCACATACTTCCAGACACACTGCATCTGCATCCGCAGTTCCAGTTGTCATGAGATTCAGCAGGACTAATAAGGAACAACTGGATGTATGTCACCTAAAATTATTTATCGTGTATGTGCAAACAAAATATCACGTTGACTTCAAATGTGAAATCTAAAGACAACTGAGAAACCCAGTGTTTATTCCAATTGTAATTTGGTTGCACCTTATATGAATAGCATGTACAGTGCACAGGTCAGCAGCAAAGGCATATGGATGCCACTGATTGCAAGTTCTTAGATACGGTTGTTTCTTTACCTATCTCTATTTCTCTTCTGCTCTGATAGGCCATGACCAGCTACCTGCCTGTGGCCACTCGTTGGATCAGACACTCATATTTCATGAGCTGATCAATCACAATGAATGTACTTCAAAGGAATCAATATATCTCTGTTTGAACTGAGGGGGTTGTAGTACATGAAATTGCATAATTAATTCCTTACTTCGTATCCATTTAATCATTTGTGCTAAAAGTTGAAGATAAAAATACAATTATGTAATTTTTGTCAATATTTATTTTCTAAAAGTAAGTTTGAGCAAATTATGTGAGTAAATAACAATAACCAGAATTTGGAATTTGTATCTACAATGAAAGTTGTCAAGTAAATTTAATTTTGTACTGTGCTGGTAATTAGAATACTTCCATTAAAAAAGGCTGAAACTGAACTGAACTGAATTTTTTAACAAGTTCTTTTTATACAAGAATTGGTAAATGCAATTCAAGCAAAAATTAGTTTATGATGCTGGCAATACATTGTTGTAAAATAAAAGAACATTCATGAGGGAATAAAAGTCACAAGGATCACATTTAGAAACTCTGTTACTCCAGTTGTTCCACTCCTGTTAATACAGCTGTCCTTTAGCTAAACTGCCATCTGTCAACATGAAGGGTCACTATTTCTACAAGAAACCATGGCTGGCCTCAAATTCATACATATGGGGAAATCTTATACACAATCTATGATACACAAGTCTGCTGTTTCCTGCACCTATACTTGTAAGTGTTGGTGTGCTTCAGTCGATGCTTTATGATGGATGCTCGGCTGGCCAGTACTTTAGCACACAGACACACCACATGTGCTGCTTCCTCGTGCATTCGTCTGCAATGTACAGACAGGGAGTTCCAGTTTCTGCACACCTCTCCACAAACGTGGCACTCCCACCTGTGGATATGGGCAATAACTGAACATGATATCCTGTAGGTTCATTCCATATCAAATTAACACACCAACTGATATGATCATCTTGGATTTTAATGACATTTGGCAAGCTTACAAAATCTGATGCGTGAGTGATAATATAAAGTTCTTCTTTTCTATCTGAATGAATATCAAAGATATTTAATTTTGAAGTTATAAGTTCTCTCTCTCTCTCTCTTTTTTTTTTTTTTTGCAATCTCTAATCCCACCACAGGAGACAAAAACACTGTAAGACAAGGCACCGGCAAAACCATTAATACCAAATAATACTACACCAATATAACGGGCCTCCAAGCAGTTAACTATACATGTACAAGTCATGAATATACCGCTATATGTCCGGGGGGAATATAACAAGATTGCAACACTGGCTTCATAGTATGAAACATTAAATGAATAGTTTTAACCATATTTTATTTTATAACTTTCTTATAATTCTTATAATTTTATTGAATTATTATAGTGTAACATATTTGCCAAGTATCCAGCTCTAATGTCACATTGAAATGCAGTTCAATAGTGTGTGAGCCTGATAATGGCTCTAAAAGCCGAAAAATTGTTGGCCTAGACCGTTTCGTTGTTGTGTGATGACAGATCCCTATAAAGAATTCTTTATAAGTTCTCCTTAAATTTGCTGCCCCTCCCATTCCCTAAAATGCTTATAATTCTGGCCCTAATTAACATACTTCTTGTAGGGCTTTCATTTGGTGTGCCACTCCTAATATGGCACATCAACATTTTGACCTTGGCCCTGGTATGAATGTATGATTTATGGAAGATTTTTCTTAAACATTGTGATTCTTCTAGTACATTTTGACGGATTAATGAGATACACATTACATACATACTGTTGTTAGTCACTTGAAGTAAAAATTATAGTAAGCTACACAGGTAATACATTATTAATAAAAAAGGCAAAAAAGAAACTCATATGTTCGTTCACCATAATATTGCAATCAGTTTTCATTTAAGTGAGATGTATTACACATAAGAGTAGCAATTTAATATGCAAAGCCTGATTTCTAGTTTCTCAGTGGTGCAACAAGATTTCTTTTACTGACAAGAGATGTGTAACCTGCTGCAGTTTCTGGATCCACTTTTAAGCACTTTTGCAACTAGAACTGACGAAATATCTGGTAATGGACCTATGAAAAGATTTACTGGGGTCACAAGGATGTAGAAACATTAGACGAATTTCACTGTCATTCACTTGTAACACAAACGCAACCCACCACTCTCTGTCATATTTGCAAGTTTCAAATCCTCTAATATCTTCCATCTCATACTCTTCATTTTTAAAGTGTACTATATGGTTGGTGTTGAACACATCTGCCTCTAAAAACACTTTTGTCTGAACCTGATTCAGGAATGAAACAATGTATTTCTGTGTGTCTGTGCTTTCCTGAATCTCTCTTCGAGCATTGCTGCTTCTTTTCTGCAGTCTTCAATGGTAAAATACTCAAAGGTGACTGAGGAATTCTTTACGACATCCCATTTGTAAAGTTGTGTTGACATCATGACCTGCTCTGCATAAGAGTTTTGCAGACTTCGCTTTCTTGCTAGCCTTCTAACCGTTCTGCCAATCCCATCACATGCATGTTTCCCATGTGATACTGCAAGGAAGATCCAATCAACATCCATACCAAAATAATCTTCATGACAGCAGAGGTTGATGAAATAGCTGTTTCCAGAGTTCATCTGTCAGTAGTCATTCGCTGTCTGTAGGTTATATTAACTTGTTCCATATTGCTAACCAAGTTCTGAGTTCCCCTGGTAGCAACTTCCACTTGGCACATTACAAATATTCATAAGTTTTACAATTCTTTATTAAGTCCGTCACAACACAATAGTGTTCAAGGCTAAATTAGCGTCGCTACATGTTTTGGCTATTCATATCCATCATCAGGGAAACACGCGATCATGTTTACACACTAGTGAACTGCAATTGCATAGTAAGTCTGGATACTTGACAATTATCATATTATAAAACAAGAGTTTTGCTGTACAATAAGGTTAAATCAATTCAAGCGATAGTCTATATCACAAAGTCAGTCACTGCAATCTTGTACTTTCCCATGGACAATGGTATATTCTAGACTTTTTTTTGATAAACTGTTTGGAGGTCTGTGAAGTATAGTTTTAACATTAACTGTTAGGTCGGTGCCTCATCATACAATGTATTTATGTCTGTTTAGCAGGGAATACAGAGTGCATACATCTGCAAGTTCACTGATGTCTTAAGAGGTTAGCAGGAAGTTCAGCTTGCTTTATAGCAGCTCTTCCTAGATGATATGGTAACATGATCTGGAACCAATTCATGCTTGTTCCTGAAAATTTGAGAAGACCGTATTTCAGGATGTTCAACTGCATTCTCTTCCTGTGCTTACACACTTCAATGCAGAAGCATATGGGAAAGCACTAGAAGTCCACTGACATTTTAGAGGAACATGTCACCTCCACCTTCAGGACTAAGCAACACACTGCACAAGCAATAAGCAAAAAGCAGGTGGCAGGCAGAACACTCTGCCAGCCACCTGCTTCTTGCTGGTTGCTTAGCTAATGACCATAATAAATGCTACTGAACTTCATTCAGTGGTCCATCTCTGAGGATGAAAGGCCAAACAGATTACTTCTTGTCTTCAACACTTCCTGTTTCACAGGAATTCATTACGTGGCATACTGTCTAATTTTTGTGAAAAGGAGAATTCAAAAAAGGACACCAAAATGAAATCTGGCAGTACACATAATGCAGTAATGTTCAAGAACGAATAACCATTTCACTTAAGAAATATTCATGTTCACATTTCAGTTGTTCAGACATACCTGTTGTAGCTTGTAGACAGCTTGAAGGTCATGCACGTATCACAACACGCTTCTCCTGTTTCAGTGTCGCTTGATGTATTTACTTGAATAAATAATTTATCTCTTTCTATAATAAGTCTGATAGTAGTATGGGCTGCAAAATGTTTGTATCTCCTTTTATACATGAATGAACAAGATAAAATCAACAAGTGGTCGCCCCGTTTCCATCATGACAGCTAATGTGACCCAATATAAACACTAAAAGATTCATACCTAAATATGGCTGGTTGATGACTTGTCTCTGATGAAGTACCTTTCTCTTCACCACTCCCTTCAGATTTCTTCTTCAGGTCATCATCATCATCGTCATCATCATATTCATCCTCATCATCATCATCGTCATTGTCATGATCATCATTTTCATCTTCATTATTCTCACTATTGTCTGCTGTGTCATTGTTGGCATCAAAGTTGCCATCATTGTCCTCTTCACTGGGCACTTCTTTAATTGCAGTTTCTAGTGGTTTCAGCTTTACAATTCGTGGGATTTTGGCCTTGCGCTTTGCTGCACCCACTAATGCTTTAGGAGGTCGGCCCCCTGATACAAATAAAAGAAAATGAATGTCATCATTCAAGTTTACAGAGAGGCAACAACCCCAGGAACTGACACAGAACATTTGGCCTGGCACCCTAACCAAAACATGTTTATTTTTACTTCTCAAAGCATAAGGTAATTATTCATTTCCATCAAATTTTGTGGAAGGGGAAAATACAGAAAGAAAAAAGAAACCAATAAAAAGCACTGCAACATGTGAAATGTCACACACTAATCAGGTAGAAACCGTTCAGCTGAAACCAGAAGAATGAATCTACGTAGATGAAATAGGGTGTGAGTGGGGGTACTGAAAATCAACTGTTGTGGTAACATGCATATACAGCAAGAAGGAAGAATTCACATAGGCAAAGCAGCTATTTTACTCTGGATTAATGGGGTTTTGGACCTTGTCCATCACATCTGAAAAAATTAGAGAACACAATGTTTTGGCAACTGAATCTATTTCCATCCTCAGGTGAGAGGGGGAGACACCTATTCTGTTCAGACCCTTCAAAAGAGCTATCCTCAATCACTGGATGATTGACTGATGGATCGATCATGTCCAATGATTTGAGGTTAGCTCTTTCTAAGGGACCCAACAGGGTAGGTGTCTCCCCTTTCACCTGAAGATGGAAACAGATCCAGTACCTGAAACACTGTGTTCTCTGGATTTTTAGAATACCATACAACAGACAAAGTCCAAAAAACCATTACTTCTGAGTGTTATACAACATTGTCAGAACCCTTTAGAATCAACTACTTTACTGTCCACCAACTGAAAACAGCAGACCAAAGTAGACACTATAAAGAATTAATAAAACAGCTGGTGGAAGAGGACTGGAATTATCGACATTTATAGAATATGGGTATATGAGTACAGGGAAACCATTAAATTGGAGAACTACATGACGGAGAATAATATGGAAAAATAATAAAGTAGTACTGGAAGACTTACTTCTCACACTTATGACGCTGCACAAAGACATCCATCATTTTGGATGATATTAGCTACTGATATGGCTGTAAAATGTATCTGGTTGAACACCGAACAGTTTATTTATTATGAAATAGACACAATAACGTTTTATGAACTTTCACTATAATTTCTGAGGAATTTATTTCTAAATAGACACAATTTTAATAGCATACAAAAAGGTATGCAAAGCTCACTACATCATGAAACCTCACTTTATTAGCTTTAAGCTGGTTTGGATGTTTACAATTCCGTAAATCGATACTTATCATATCTGATATTTTTCATAACTTAAGTGGAACAAGTGACATAGTGCTGTGCCCCAACAACACAATGGGGCAGAACACCACATCAGTAGAAGCAACGAAACTACACTTCAACAGAAAACTAGAAAAGAGCACCATAAACAAAACTCCAATATGTAGATTGTAACACAGAAAAACAAAAAAGAACATGACCAGTGAGTCCACCATAGAAAATCTAAAGGCACACGCCACCAAAAACAGGAGAGCATGAGGCCATAGATACTAACAATGCATATCTGCATAATATTCAACATTATACTAAAGGATCAGACTTTCAGGCATTAAGTCAATGTAATGAAGTTTTGATTTATATATAGCAACATGGTAATTACTCATTACTCACATTATTGCTATGGCCTACACCAATGTCCCACTGAACAAATTCAAGACAGTTAAATGAAATTCATATACCTACATCCTACACATTCTAGCGTCTTCTTCCAGCCTCTCTTTACCTGTGGCTCTCTAACATGAATTGTGCATGCATTTATTGTTTCTCCCACTGACACTACACATACAGCCAAACTCAAATTCTTCATATAATAATACCAGTAATGCTTCACTCATGGTTCTTGGCAGCCGCATGCTGTGGAATATCATCATACTTGCTACATTTCCTGATCATCATACCAACACTTCCTTTGTGTGAGCTACATGCCCTGCCCAACACAACAATACTTTACTTACATTTCTTGGAAACTGGCTGCAGGGGTACCTCCTCTGCTACTCCTCCATGCATGCTACACGACATGCCCATCACACCAACAGTACTTCACTTACGTTTCTTGGCAGTGGGCTGCTGCGGCACCTCCACTTCACCTCCCCCCCCTCCATCTTCTTCATCTTTCTCCTCCTTGATTTTTAACTCATTGTCAGTAACTCCAGCTGTAGCTGCCTCAAAGTCCCGCTGCGTCTGTGCCAGACTCTGCAGTCTGCTGCTGACACGACGCTCTCGTTCCCTCTCTCCTTCCTGTCGACCCTTATTCTCATTTCCAGCACGTGTCAGAATCCTCACTTTCTTCCCACGAGCCTTAAAATTACTTCTTGTTCGGAGGACCCTCTTTCTGAGTGCCTTCACTTTGGATTTCTTTACTCCCGGAGCAATGCAGTCTGATGGGATGAAGGGATCTGCTTCTATGGCCAGCATCTCAATGTCCTTCTTACTGTCCACAGGCTGCAACACACACTACAGGTTGGTATACTTACAATTTCATCAACATTTTGACTTCACTGGAATTCATCTAGACTATGTACCTCTAAGCTATATAAACGTCTACCAGACTACACTGCATCACTTCCTATGTACCTCTTCAGCTTGACCTTTATCTTCACTCTCCTGAAGAAATTCTTCTCTTATTAACCCAACTTTGGTATCAACCTCATCGCCCATTTCAACAGTTGCTTCAACCATTGCGCGGAACATGGCCTGTACACGCTGACACTGCTCTGCATAGGAATCAAATGAGCCAAGCTTTTGTGAGCAGGACTGGCATACTGTGTGTGGCAAATCATCCTGGTTGTCAACCTGGCACAAACAGAGAAACAAAGCTCTATGACTTACATTTCACAAGATTTTCACTGCCATCAATTTATTGCAGATACAGATCTGCTGTCAACCTAGTTCACCAACTGCATAAAATCAGACTCCACAGAGGCATAAATTAATTTTCCTTGCATTTTGTCAAACCATACTTTTTGGTATAATCTAATTTCATGGCCAATGTATTTTTCATATATATATATACATACATACACACACACACACACACACACATAAATCTATTGACAGTGGAAGGGACTGCATTATATTTTACTTTTTATTTGCTCATAAATGTTGCAGTCCATTTAAATTAAATAAGAATTACCACTAAATTAATTGTTTTTAATATTATTCTGCCTGTTCTACAAAAACCACTGCAAAAAACATTAATAATTACATTTTTCATTTTAAGCCTTCTGCCAATGCTACATAACCTTCAAACAAAATCTGTAGATCTATATTATGTAGGACTGGAAGGGGAGGTTTACCTGGGTGACACAGAGCAGGAACATGGTTCCTGGTACCACCATGGTAGGATTGAAGGCCTGTCAGAAATCTGAAAAAGTTGGCTAAAGGCTAAAGGTATTGGCTCTGGTGAAGCTGGGTTAACCAAATGATTCTGAGAATAACCAAAACAGGCAGCACATATGGGAGAATAAAAAGGAATGGGAAAGGCTATGCCACAGATTATAGACTACACAGTGCAGCACAACTGTCAACAGCTGAACTACATTTAACATGTAAGATTTGAGGCTTTCACGGTGGTGACTATGAAGAAAGCAGTCTTCTGGGATTTGGCACCGTGTATATGTGGTGTTAACCGACGTTTCGGAGGAACGTATCGCCTCCATCTTCAGGGTAGAAGAAAAAATATATAAGAAATCTGCAAGCAAAGAGACTGTGAGAACCGGTAAAAGCAGACAGTCTGTCACCGGTTCTCATGGTCTCTTTGCTTGCAGATTTCTTATATATTTTTTCTTCTACCCTGAAGATGGAGGCGATACGTTCCTCCGAAACGTCGGTTAACACCACATATACACGGTGCCAAATCCCAGAAGACTGCTTTCTACATTTAACATGCCTAATTAAAACAGCTTCCTATCCAGGGGTTTCTTCCCTGTGGGGGAAGTGGCTGAAGTGGCATCAAGTGGACAACAACCTCTCATCTGCTAACAAGGTTATGAGCAAGTAGAGTTTTGTAGAATTTGAGGTTATCTTCTGGGATATAATGGCCAAGCCCCACTGCATGAATGTAAATTATGTAGGTCATGAGTGAGCAAGTCTTCTGTTTGTTTGTTGTGTCTGTTCTATATTGACAATATTTTGATGTGGACATGTGTAGATTCTAAAGGGTTCTGACAATGGTGGATGACTCACAGGGTTTTTGGACTTTTTCCATCGTCCGGAATTCTAGATAACAGAGGACACGACAGTTCAGAAACTGGATCCTTTCTCACCTGATGATGGAAACAGATCCAACTTCTGAAACGTCATGTCCTCTATTATCTAGAAATCTTGGACAATGGAAAAAGTCCAAGAACCCAGTAATTCTTTGGATATGTGTGGTTAGTATTCTGCACATAATGTTACTTAGTTTATGAAGATTTCGATGGTTCTTTTCTTTCCAAACCTTGCATTTGGAAGATGTCCATATGGACCAGTTTCATAAAACTGTGTCAAGAGCTCTAATCGGAAACCAACAGGAGAACCGAACTGGACACTTGTTAGGTTTATGTATGTAATACAATGGCAATATACCCATTTGATTGCTTGAATTCACAACTCCATGAACACCGAAAGATATATTTCAGTAAATTCTATCTGTATGAGCCTACCGTCAATTTCAAGAGTATTCAACAATAAAATACTATGATCAACTGTGGTGTAAAAAAGTGCCTGATACCATTTGTCACCTTGCAGTAGACCCTACTAGGAAACAAAGCAGGAGGCGAAGTATTACGTTCTAAGATACATAAGCTAATTACTTCTATTTGGCATAAGGAAAAATTGCTTGATCAGTGGAAGGAATCTATTATTGTACCAGTTCACAAGAAGGGTGATAAAACTGACTGTAGTAATTATCGAGGGACATCACTGCTATCAACTTCATACAAAATTTAATCCAATATTCTACTCTCAAGGTTAAGTCCATACATAGATGAAATTATTGGGGATCATTAGTGTGGGTTTCGATGTAACAGATCAACTACAGATCAGATCTTTTGCAGTCGTCAGATATTGGAGAAAAAATTGGAGTACAATCAGACAGTACATCAGCTATACAGAGAATTCAAGAAAGCCTACGATTCAGTTAGGAGGGAAGTATTGTAGAATATTCTGATAGAGTTTGGGATGCCCGTGAAATTAGTTAGGCTGATTAAAATGTGTTTAGACGAAACGTATATTAAAGTCCATATAGGTAAATATTTGTCTGATAATTTTCCTACGCAGAATGATCTAAAATAGAGATCCTTTATCACCAGTACTTTTCAACTTTACTTTAGAATATGCCATTAGGAATGTCCGGGAAAATCAGGTGGGACTGAAATTAAATGGGACACATCAGCTGTTGGTCTATGCTGATTATGTGAATCTACTGGGTGATAATATAGATACCATAAAGAAAAACACATAAACTTCAAGTGATGCAAGTAAGGAGGTTGGTCTAGGAGTAAACAGAGAAAACTAAGCATATGTTGCTGTTTCATCACCAAAATGCAGGGCTAAATCATGACATAATGATAGGAAACAGATGTTTTGAAAATGTGGCACAGTTCAGATATTTGGGAATGACGATAACAAATCAAATCCTGATTCAGGAGGAAATTAAGAGGAGACTGAACTCAGGTAATGCTTGCTACCATTCAGCCCAGAACCTTTTATCTTCTCATCTGCTGTCCAAAAACCTAAAAATTAGAATATACAAACCTAGAATTTTGTCTATGTTTCTGTATGGGTGTGAAATTTGGTCTCTGACATTAAGGGAGGAACATAGACTGAGGGTGTTTGAGAACAGGGTGTTGAGGAGAATATTTGGACCGAAGAGAGATGAAGTGACAGGAGGTTGGAGAAAACTCCATAATGAGGAGCTTCATAACTTGTACTCTTCTCCAAGTATAATTAGAATGATCAAGTCAAGGAGGATGAGGTGTGGGAGACTGAGGAATGCATACAGGATATTGGTGGGAAAGCCTGAAGGAAAGAGACCACTGGGAAGACCAAGGCGTACGTGGGTGGACAATAATAAAATGGATCTTCGAGAGACAGAATGGGATGGTATGGATTGGATTAATCTCGCTCAGGATGGAGTCAAGTGGAGGGCTCTTGTGAACATGGTAATGAACCTTCGGGTTCCATAAGATGCTGGGAAATTTTTGAGTACCTGCAAAATCGGCGGCTCCTCAAGAAGGGCTCAGCTCCATGAGTGAGTAAGTGAATTTTTATGTTTCTGAAGAATTATGCTTTGTATGTTATAATACCAATCAAACTGCAAGTCAATTTTTGTATCAAACCACTATATGCAAGCCATGATAGATCAATTGGTACAGCAATGGGCTAGAGGCTGGATGACTGGGGTTCGATTCTTGGCAGTGACAAGATATTCTTCTCTTCTCCACAGCGTCGAGACTGGCAATGGGGCCCACCTAGCCTCCTACTGACTAAGGTGTACTGATGGCCCTTTGCCCAGAGATAAAGTGGCTGATACATGAAGCTGACCACTGTCCTGCACCTTGTGCTAAGTTCAAGAATAGTGGAGCTATATCTCTACTCCCCCTACATATGCATTAATTAAGCACAGGGAATTTGATTTGTTTCATTCTGGTCCATCACACTACAATATCATGAAAAGTTAAACAGTTCCGTTCATTGTGAATTGTGATAGCCAGTCACACTGGACGGAACTGTTTAACTTTTCATGATAAGCACAGGGACTTCACCATTTTTTACTTTTATTACCCCATTGTACATATTTCATATGCCAAGTTACAATGATAACTATCCCTGTGTCCAAGCATCATCCTTGACAACACGTAAGACGTACCCCAGACTGAATGGTGTTAATGTTGTCCCATGCCAAGAATTCGCAATGTTTCCATTTTGATACAGTTGATGAGAGCACTCCAATGGAATAATGTTCATAAAAAGTTTCAACTGAAGTGTTTAATTCATGTCTATAATATTCATGCCTGTAACCGAACCACATATCAAAAAATATTTCCTGAAATACAGGATGAACAGAAGTAACTGAGATGGACAGTCTTGAAACACAATCAAAATACTTGTCGATTACAGACATAATTCTAAGGCTGGAGTCCCACAGTATAAGATTAGGTTATAAGCATTTCCAATTCATCATTCATCCAATAATTCTAGCATTCAACAATATACAGTGTATGAACTGACAGTGTCAAAAATTAACCACAAAAACGTACAGTGGTGTCAACTCTGCAGCGTTTTGTGAACATGAACGTGTCCTGTAGCACTTTCCTTGAGCTTGAACATTGGGATTCTTGATTCATTCTTATGTAATACAATAATCCTGCTATAAATAAAAAGATTAAGTCATCCAGTGAGATGTGAAGCTGACAATGAATGTGCATAGAACAGAATGTGGCAGATGGCAGACATTATCCTGGCATTCACATCCACAGCCTTTACATATGGAGCTCAAAAACAATGCAATTATAACAGATAACTTAACTGGCATTTGACTGGAACTGGGTACCCCATAAATACAGACTTAGAACAACATACAAGTTCACTTGGTAGGATACACTTGAGAACAAGCAGCAAAGAAACAAAGATGGCCTCATATATGTGAGGGGAAGCATCTGCTGCCCAAAGGGGGAAATACACTAAATATTAACATAAAAGACTGAAATTATATTAAGAACATTTTACTCTTCTATTCTGAACATAAAGGGTGATTCACGAGGATTTAAACTGAAGTCTGGAAGCAAATTTTCTGGCTGAGCCCATTCAAA